GAGACCAGAAGGCCAACCGGTCGGTCTTAGACCGACGCCCTGGATTTCATTCGCGGAACAGGGCGCGGTAATAGGTGGCGTGGGGCTCCTGAAAGGGAGTCCTGGGGCTGGGGTGTCGGGGAGGGAATGCGGGAGCAGTTTCCCTGACTCCCCACATTACCAGTCCGACAGGTAGGCATCCCGCAGGGGTTTTAGTCGGTAGGAGTCCGACATAACCCTCGACCCCCCAAGGGTCGGGGATATCCATGATGGATTTCCTCTGCGTCACCAAAAAAAAAGACCGACTTTGTTTCTACGGTGGTGGAGATACACTCCCACCACCGTAACGGGCACAATCGACCGCCACGAACGAGGACCTCTTTTCCCTTAATTCACAGGGAGGGGTCCCAGCCCGCGTTGTTCGCCGGCACCCGGTACGGCTCGGCAGCCACCCCCATCCCGACGCCCAGATCTAGGATCCTGTGTGACCACAGGTCCTGAGCCTGGGCGCCATGTCCGAGGTTGGCCTGTAGGACCCGGAGCTGGGTGAAGGCTAAGCCTTCTCCGCCTCCTCCGGGCTACCACGTACGTGGGTACAACCACGTCCTCTTGAGAGACCTCTGGCGGCGGAGCCGCTTCGGTCTCCCCCGAGGGGGCTTCGGCCATGATGGCCCTAGACATGGGTACCTCCATTGACGCGGAGTCACGTCTCCCTCAACGTTACCTCAACGTCCACCTCCCCTTGGGAGTATGGGGGGGTTCGTTACCTTTGGGAGTCGGGGGTGGCACTCCCACCGACTCCCCTTTTTCTACAATTGTTGGGGGTGTCCCTACTGAATCCACCCTCCTCACCTTCCTGAGATCCGGCTCCTTTTCGGACTGGACCATTGCAGTCCTCGGCTCCGGGTCCTCCGTCCCCCTCCCTTTCTTTAGAGGCAGGGTCGTCACCTCCATCGGCTCATCCTCTGGCGGGGCGGGGGATGAGCTCCACCCATGCTCCTCCCCCCACTCTTGTGAGAGAAGGACTGTTAATGTGACCCCTCATCCACCTGGTTCCTTGTTGGCGAATGGGGAGGCTCCGTCACCAGGTCCCTCGTTGGGGAGGTCACGTCGGCACCTACCAAGAGACCCACGTGCCTTCGAATTCACGAACGGCTGGATTCTCATGTGTACACGCTATTTGCGAGAATGTTTCGCAGCAGCTGCGACAGACTGCGAACAAATATTTACCTTGCGTGCGAAACGGAAGTACGGGATGCAAGAGTTCGCGTGGTGCGAGTACATTGCATTGTACGAGTCCTCTCACTGTAGTAAAGTTAAAATCAGGAGTCACACCGACTAAGTTGGAGCACTCTTCGCCCTAGTAAACTTCCGGATGCCTGATCGGAAAAGCACCCGTCTTCAGTACGTAGGGGTATAGAGAGCATACGTCAACGTGACGCATCTTTTCCTCCCCCGTAACTTCGTACCGTAAATTCGTATGACGATATTCCCCGTGCGGCCCCCGAACAATGCGTCGCGAAGATCGAGGGGCATGGTCCTCAGCATCGAGTGATTTTCTACAAAATCGCGCATCTCCTGATTCTCTCTCATCTCTCGATTGAAGACGCATTCCCATTTCTCCGTAAGGAAATATCCCTGTTTATGAAGACGACTTGACGTTGCGAATGTGCGTTCGTAGCGTGTGTCGATCGTATCCGCGTGTACACAGGTCGAGAGTGGCCTACCGCGGTTCACTCGAAAACATACAGGACATCCGTGCCAAAAATATCCGTGAAATTGTAGAACGTGTCTTTGCGGTGGATTTTCCGGCTCGTAATAACCGTCAACTAATGTACCATCTGATAAACACTGTTCCTGTCCTCTATCGGCATGAATTACAGCGCGTCCGAGTTCGCGTTCCTTCCACAATAACCATTGAAGAGCTTTGTGCGATTGATTATTGGCATATCTGTAACCTCCCGTCGGAATGATACCTATCTCTTTCTCACGTAAAAAGTTTTTCCGGAAAACTCGCATACAAGTGGAAGCGATGGTTGTAAATTCTTCGAAGGGACATACTCTTCCCCGCTCCAAAAAAATTTTACGAAAGGCGAGACATGCTCGACGAGGAATATCCATGTCGTTGCGACAATAGTCCACTATCTCTCGTTGGAAATCGAACTCGACGTTTTTACTAACCATCTCCGCATGTCACGCTAAAAACTCTTCACGTTCATCCGATTTTATCGTATTTGGTGAGAAATACCGAATATCAGGTAATAGACCGGTGTAATATTGGTTTTCGACGGTATCAAACAAATGAGGGAATAACCCTTTGCCTAAAATGCCCTTCAACCCGAAAGCTTTTCGCAGCATTGACAATCGCATCGGCATATAATTAATGTTGTCTATGAATTTAGTTCGGCCAACGGTTAATAGTACAATTTTCGTACCGTTTAAAATAAGTTTTGGTTCAACGTAGTTGCTACTTTTGACCAAGTAGCGGAGAATAAATTGCGAGTCGAACGCACTTGCGTTATGCGCGATGCAAATGATCTGTTTGAAGCTCTTCGTTGGTCTCGTGGCAAAATCGACAAATTGCTTCACCGGATCATTGTGAAATATTAATTCACGCACACCACACCAACGACAACGCGCCGTCATGTCGTCTATCTCCATATACGAATCACATATTTGCTGCGCGACACAAAGTGTAACCACGTGTATTTTAACATTTTCGCTGCCTTCGACTGCATCATCCTGCCACGTCTCAAAGTCATAAAACACAAATGCGACGCGATCTTTCTTTCTTTCACATGTTTATACGTTCTTATTATTTTCATCCTCCATTTCAGTTTCACTAGCGTTTTCCGCTTACGTTGAATTTTCTGATAATCCGTCGGTGTGACGAAGCGGGCGCATGAAACACAGGTGATTCAGTGGTTTCGACGACACACAAAAACGACAATAAACAATGCCGCATTTGTATTTTTTCTTAAGTTTTGCAAACGACCGCATTTGTTACAAATCCGGAGAATGCTGCAGACGCTCGATAATGTCTCGACATTGTATGACTTTGGGGTATGATGACGCTCGAAGCATACGGTACCGTAAAACGCACGTTGACACATGTTACATATGAATCACTGATCGATTGCGAGCTGTTGGTCTGCGCTATACAAGACGTTATGTATGAAGCTGTCAATAAATAAAAACAATATTGTACAACGTTTAATAAAAACATTTATTTTAAAATGTACAGATGTTTCTTCCAACACGTTTATCCCCTTTCACTTCGTTTGACGTTTTTTCTAGAAAGCATTCCAGATCGGCGTACACCATGAATGGGACCCACTCCTTTTCCGCTGTTGTTTGTAAAAGCTAAGGCACTTATTGTCCTCCGTTAGCAGGTTGATTGTGCAGTCATTCAACCTGTTGCAATCTATAGGGTGTCTCTCAAATTTTTCGTTGGAAGAAAATAATGCAAACAACTAAAACGAAAAAGGAAAATGATTATTATGAGTTTCTCTTTTATATCATATTTGTTACACATTGTATTCATAGGATATCCTTACCGATCACATAGATATTAGGTTGGGGAAAAAGAAATCCATTATTTTTTCGTTTACTTCAAGGCTTTATTTAACATAGTTAGGATTGTTCGATTTTGGTCAAATAAGCACCGTTTTGTTCTACAATTTGTCGCCATTTTAAAGGTAATTTCATGATCCCTCTTTCATACAGGGTTTTTCAATTGGTATGGGTCGATGTTGGCAGCCTGTGGCGGCCATGTTGTTTTGGCGGTGTCTGTCTAATCTTATTTGTTTATTATTCAGTCACTGATGCCAAATCACCATGACAAGTTACACGATTGAGCAGCACGTCCAAATGATAAAACTTTATTATAAATAAGTGTTCGTTAGTGCAAACGTTGCGCGCGTTGCGCCCATTTTACGGCAGACGCGGTGGCCCTTCAAAGTCGACTCTCCAACGTTTGGTGGCCAAATTCGAGACGACCGGTTCGGTAAACGATCAGCCAACACCCGTACGTCAAAGGAACGCCAGATCGGCCGAGAACATCGCCACTGTAAGTGAAAGTCTGTAGGAGAACCCGAGGCAGTCAATTCCTCGCCGTGCACAAGAACTCGGCCTTTCGCAGGCTTCAACTTAGCGAATTTTGCGTCGGGACTTGGGCCTGCACCCGTACAAGATCGAACTGGCCCAGGAGCTCAAAGTTAATGACCATAGACAACGCCGTTTGTTCGCTGACTGGGCTTCGGAGTATTTGGAAGAGGACCCCAATTTTGGCCGAAAAATCATCTTTAGCGACGAGGCGCATTTTTGGATGAATGGCTATGTTAACAAGCATAATTGCCGTATATGGCACGACGCCAACCCACACGAGATTCAACAGGTAGCAATGCATCCACCAAAAGTTACTGTTTGGTGCGGATTTTGGGCCGGCGGCGTCATTGGTCCGTACTTTTTCAAAAACAACGTTGGTAAGGCCATCACCGTCAATGGCGAGCGCTATAGAACGATGATAACCAATTTCTTTTGGCCCAAATTAAACGATATGAACGTGGACGACATGTGGTTCCAGCAGGACGGCGCTACGTGCCACACAGCGGACGCCACGATGGACATTCTGCATGAACGATTTGAGGGTATGGTTATCTCTCGCAGAGGTGACGTGAATTGGCCACCAAGATCGTGCGATTTGACCCCGCTAGACTTTTTCTTGTGGGGTTTTCTGAAGTCGCAGGTCTATGCCAATAAGCCGCAATCGACCGATGCCCTTAAAGTCAACATAACCCAGGCCATCGCTCAAATTCAGCCGGATCTATGCGGCAGAATCATTGAAAATTGGACCACTCGGATCCGTGCCACCGTGAGAAGCCGCGGCGGACATTTGAACGATGTTATATTCCATAATGGCATACATGGGCCTTTCAAATAAAGAAAGAATTTCATTAATACCTCACACACAGCTTGTTTTATTCCATTGCAACATCGACCCGCCCTTATTGAAAAATCCTTTAGAAGCCCTGGTCCTTATTTACAAAAAACTCGACTAAGCGATTTTCACAGTCTTCTCTTGAGGTCAATTTCTTACCATCAAGGAAGTTTTGTAATGACAAAAACAGATGATAATCGCTTGGTGCCAGGTCTGGACTATAAGGTGGATGCATCAAAACTTCCCAACCAAGCTCTCGGAGTTTCTGACGAGTCACTATAGACGTATGTGGCCTGGCATTGTCTTGATAAAAAACAATTTCTCTCCTATTGACCAATTCTGGCCGCTTCTGGTCGATCGCTAGCTTCAAACGGTCCAATTGTTGACAATAGAGGTCCGAATTTAGTGTTTGGCCATATAAAAACAGCTCATAGTGCATGATTCCTTTATAGTCCCACCAAACACTCAGCAAAACATTCCCGACCGTTAATCCTAGTTTGACCACCGTATGAGCCGTTTCGCTGCGCTTTGACCACGATCGTTTTCGCACAATATTGTCGTATGTAGTCCATTTCTCATCCCCAGTCACCATCCGTTTCAGAAATGGCTCGATTTCGTTCCGTATGGTCAAGGCTTCGCAGATTGAAATTCGGTCCATCATGTTTTTTTGCGTCAATTCGTGTGGCACCCAAACATCGAGCTTTTTTTTTGAATCCAGCTTTATGCAAATGGTTTAAAACTGTTTTATGGTCGATCTTCAGCTCCTGGGCGATACTACGACTGCTAACATGCCGGTCTACTTCGATCATTTCCATAATTTTATTGACATTTTCGACGACGGGCCTACCTGTACGAGATGCATCTTTAACATCAAAATTACCGGACCGGAATCGACGAAACCAAAATTGTGCGTGATTAGCTGTGACAGTATCGGGACCATAAACACCATTCTCAATTTCAGCCGCCTGGCTTGCATTTTCACCTTTATCGAAGCAAAATTGTAAAATATACCCAATTTTCTCTTCGTTGATATACGTCTTTTACGTGCTATAACTCACAATTTAATCGACAAATCACAAAACCGTTAAAGAATTTTTTTTAGTACGGAATGTCACTTTTCCAACAATATAAATATTAACCTATGCGATTAATACATCACGTGATATATACCACTAAAGCCATCTAGCGGAAAAATAATGGATTTTTTTTTCCCCAACCTAATATTTCTTGCATTTTTCTTTATTTAGTTGCATGCTCACAAGGTAGGACACGTGCTTTTCCTTCTTATCGAGACGTATCGAAACGATCGTACATGATTCTTCCTGCTCCTTTTTATCTTGTATAGTGTATTGGACGAAGTTTTTGTACCGTATATAAGAATTCTGTTTTAAATGTCATATTAGTACATATTGGACACAGATTGCATGGTGTTATTTGGTAGACAGGGTTTCTACAGTTTGAACAAAATACACCATTAATCGCACCGTGTCTTTCGCGTGATGTGTTCTCGCACTGCAAATATTTCTGTCACTGTATCGCGTATACCACCAAAAAACATGATGTGCAGAACTGCAGATTGCTTCCAGTATTGTATGGAAAATAAATGCAACACACTTTTGTTTGACCATTCAAAGTATTAATTTTTGAACTTTCAGTTTCTTCTTTTTCACTCGCTAATTGATCACTATTGTCACTATCATAATTACTATCATCGGTGAGTATATGATTTTATGTCTTCTTCGTCTTCTATTTCTTCGTCTTTTACTTCGTCGTCTTCTACTTCTTCATGCTCTATGTTTTCGTGATCCATACTGAAAGAGCTTCGACTGGGAAATATATTACACACAAATTAAATCTATATGCTTCACTTTTGCCACTCTTCTCGTCAATCTTTGAAGAATTGGCGACGACACTTTCTCAGCATTTTCTTCGATATTACTCAAACACGGACCACCGGAATATATGACTGTTGCGGAGAAGTGAATGAAAAACGAAAGACTGTGTCTTCGTTAGCTTTCCCTTTACCCTATTTACCACGTTTTAAGAAAATTTTCTCCAAACTGAATCTTCGAAAAGTAAAAGTGGAAAAATTATCGGTAATAATCTCCTTTTAATAAAGGGCCTAATCTTTTAGTGTAAACTTAACGAAAATTTTCCCACAAATGTGGCGGTGAACAAAGTATATCCATATCCTCAGAGAAGCGCTTTCAGATACTGGGCGTTATTGTTACAGAGGTTTATTTCACTATCTTAAGAAAATATAAAAACGGTACAACTTTTGTGTATATTATTTAAACAAGATAAACAGCTATAGGTCTTTTTCGAAAAATAGCCCTCACATACGTAAAAGGGACCAAGTGCATTCAACTCCCAGAAAAATGCTTCCAGAAACCGAATGTTATTGATATAGTAGTCTACCTCTTTATTCTAAGTAAATATAAAGCGATATCTTTTGAACATATTTTGAACGAGCTAAGTATCTATAGACCTTTTTCGAGAAATTGTTCTCACGCTTGTAAAAATAAACGAAGTATTTCCAGTCCCTAGAGAAACGCTTTCAGAAACTGTATGTTATCGATACAGAAACTTATCACCCATCCTAAGTAAACATGAATGATACATCTTTTGTGTGCAACAAAATGATATATTATTTTGAAAAAGATAAGCAGTTGTAGACTTTTTATGTCTGCGCATCACCATCCCCACTACTTTTTCTATTCTCTACGGGGAAAGACATATGGAACTGAGACTGCTCAATCGTTCGAGCTTCGTTGCTTCTACTCGTTGCATAGCTAGTTCACGTGTGAGTCATTTACAAGTTCTTGCAAGAATAATGTCCGTCGCTAACGTGAACGCTGATTTTAAGAAGACATCGAACAGCCTCTCTACAGAAGTGAGAAACGAACGCAACATGCTTCTATGCACGACTTACGTTCTTAACAATTCGGACACTAAGAGGGCACAAGTTGGGTTGCGCACTATGTACGACGTGGGAACATTTGGGCCGGCGATCAAGATAATGGGAAACACGGCTTCAGGAATATTTCTTGATTTAAATACGTGGGAGAAATTTAGAGATATTATACTCACTGCAAATTCTTACTTGTGCGAAAAAAATAAGAATATGCCAACCCCTATCATCATTAACGACATTATCGTCAACTTTACCTCTGCGTACGGTGCACGGGCTATAATGGTGAGCCAGCGAGAGAAAATGGAGGACGGGCCTATGAAGAAGACATCGAAGGACTCTACGCATTTGAAGCAGCCACCGTTGAAGAAGCGTAAACTGTACACGGAAAATATTGTAATGCAGAAGACTACTTTCGATGGTCTGGAAACTATCGCGAAATGTATCGACGTTAGATACAAGCATTTACAATCGGTTGCAGCTCTTGTAAATAATTGTAAGTGTATTTTAATATCCGAGTTAGAGAGACATAAACGAAGATTTCGTGAAACGGACGCTCACTGCTGAATATCGAGAAATCGAAGAAAACGTACGACGCCAAATAAAAAATTTACCATTTTTAGACTCGTACTTTAATATTGTATTCTATGAATTAACCTCGATTCATTCAAATGAAATTATAACGAAATTGTAACGAATGCAGAGTGCTACGAATGCTTGCAAAACTACGAATGTAACTTCAAAAATAAAATGTGAATTTATTCTATAAAATATTTTGTGCATTCCTTTCCCTTCACCTCTTCTCTCTTCCCTATGATTTTCTAGTTCGAGGTAATAAATCTCTTCGTAAACTTTTCGAAATCGAAAGTGGGGACTCTCACAGGTAAAAATATTCGACTAGACATAGACCGGAGGTATCATCTTCCAACAATTGAGGATTTCTTTTGTCTTTGAAATTATCGTCGTCTGCTCGAACATGATTCATTTAAATGAAATTATATGTGAAATTGTAACAAATGCCGAGTGCTGTGAATGTTTGCGAAGCTCAGAATGTAACTTTAAAAATAAAATGTGAATTTATTCTATAAAAAATTTTGTGCATTCCTTTCTCTTCACCTCTTCTCTCTTCCCTATTATTTTCCAGTTCGAGGTAATAAATCTCTTCATAAACTTTTCGAAATCGAAAGTGGGGACTCTCACAGGTAAAAATATTCGACTAGACATAGACCGGAGGTATCATCTTCCAACAATTGAGGATTTCTTTTGTCTTTGAAATTATCATCGTCTGCTCCAATACGCGCACACACACGCATACACACACACACACATACTCACACGACGCAAGAGCAGTGACTTCGTGGTTCGAGTCTCATAGGGCCTAGAATTTTCCAAATTTTCGCGTGAGACGTCGATACTTTCCATATATATACAATATAACTAGTTTCCATCAAAGTATAGAAGTAGCGTAGTGCATAAGACTCCAGAGCCGGTGGACCAGGTTTCGAATTCGAGCAAGACCTACAGGATTTTTCCAGAGAACACGCATGCGAGGACACACGCGGGATCTCCACACACACATGCATACGCACACGCACACCTCACCCTATTCTACGAGTACGTCGTGAAGCCCGTTTCTACCAGAGAGCAGCAGTAGCACAGTGGTAAGACGGTATAACTCAAGAACCACAGAGGGACCTGATTCGAATCCATGTTGGACACAGAGTTTTTCCAAAACTTGTGACGTCGGTACTTTCCGTATGTATGCAATATAACTAGTTTCAGGGTACATCCCAACATAACCTTCAAAAGTATTCAGTTCAGTACAGTCAAAAATGGCACTGCATTCTTTAGAATTTCAACAAGGAAAAAATGCTGCGAATCGATTTGTTCCTTCCTCGACGAAGGTGTTGTATCGTACGATGTGTGCGCATTTTAGTTTAAGCGGTTTAAAAGCGGTAATTTCAGTCTAACCGACAAACAACGCCCTGGAGGCCCTCCGAAGTGCGATAATGATGATTTGGAACAACTGCTCGCTGAGAATTCGGCATAAACACAAAAAGAGCTTGCAGAACAGTTGGGAGTAACGCAGCAAACGATTTCCAAACGCCTACATGAGATGGGAAAATCCAGAAAGAAGGAAAATGGGTGCCTAACCGCATGAACTCATTGAAACCAACAAAAATCAACGAGTGGCAGCGTATCTTTCTCTTTTCAATAAGCAGCGTCGAAAGTCTTTCTTGTGGAAAATCGTTACAGGCGATGAGAAATGGATACTCTATGACAATCCGAAACGCAGAAAGTCATGGGTAATCTCGGCGAATCATCAAAATCGGTCGCAAAACCCAATCGCTTCGGAAAGAAGGTCCTTCTCTGCATTTGGTGGGATATCAAGGCATGCTTTATTATAAATTGTTGGAACCGGGTGAAACAGTTACTGCGGACGCTACAACGTCAATT